CCTCGCACAAATCCTCTAATACCCTTGGCCGACATTACCTTGACTCTATGAGCAACGTAGATGGAGCCGCAACATACCTTGACCTGCAAGCAAGGCACGATGTCACCAAAGACTTTAGATCCGCTACTATGCAGAGAAAGTATGGATTACCGTTGTCACTACCCGAAAGCAAGCAGAACGACTTAGAATCTCGCTCTGACTACCAAGCACTCACGGAAAAGTCCCGAGCTCTTGTGATAGAGATTGAGAAAGCGGAGAATGACGACAAACGGCGAGAGTTGAAGAGGCAGCAAGAAGAATTGGACTTCCAGAAACGTAAACTACGTGATCAGGAATTAAAGGATTATCAATCAAACTACAAGGAACCCTCGCAAGGACAGCAGAACCTAGCCGACCGGCGTCGTGACTACTTCCAGCATGTTGTTCGTCATATGGTTCCAGAGCGAGCCCGTCTCAGTGAGAACCTTCTAAAGTGCGAAAAACTTCGGAGCGAGGTCGGAAGATCAGTGATGGAGGATCTCCTGTATCTACTTACAAATGACTCTCCTGTCGCTTACCAGGAGTCCTTACGCCCTATCAACGGCCGTTGTAGGGTCGAATCTTGTGGAGCAGAAATGGATAGGTTAGGAAAATTGCGCACTGTTACGCATCTCAGCTAATCATATATTAGTATTCCTATCTCTGGCCGATGGCGTCACGCATACGACTGTTGCAAAGCTGACCATGAGCGTTTGTCCGGGTGCATGGTTCGTTACTGCTTCATATGTAACTCTTGGGAGAAGGGCCAAAGTGAATGGGAGAATCATTGTGTAGTTCACATCAAGAACGGAGACATACCGGTTCGCTGTGATCCTATTACATATCGTCATGGCCTCGCTCGTGCTGGACACTGCCGAGTCTGTCTACATGATGAGAAGCTTTCCGCTTCCGATAGGCTACACCCATACATGCATTTGTCAGATTGGAAGCGTCATGAGAAAACTTGCATGAGTGCGTATTTGCGAAATTGCAAGCAAGGCCAATTCTGTCCAGATCCACGCTGTGAAGCACAGGGCCCTTTTTCTTCGACTACGACTTTCTACGAGCACCAAGAGGATAATCATAGCTGTCATCAAAGACAACTAGGTCGGAGCAAACGGCCTCGATCGGACAGTAGTGAAATCGAAGCACAAGAGGATGCATGTCCAAAACGTCGAAAACAGACGCACAAGTTCATTACCTATAACCACCCAGGGGTTAGGCGCAAGAGATCGAAAAGGCAGCCTGCCGCGGCTCAGGATCCGGACTCTGAGGACTCTGAGGACTCTGATCTAGGATTGTGCAGTACGGATGAGGATTACCAGAGTCTCGATATCGACACTGACTCTCCTGACAGCCTATCAGGAGAACGATGTGCTGAAGAGCATACTCCAGAGCCGGAAGTATTGTTCAATAACAGAAAGATTGGAGATATGGAGGCAACCATGCTACCTATATCGGGCTTTACTGGGAACGGTATACTGCATCAAACACTTGCATCTCATGAGCATACGAAAATGAACAATCTGACAAGCACTCCCAAGGATACGTGGATGAAAACTCCTGCAGCGGATGGTTCGATGGACTCTCTGATAAATGCCGAGAGGGGTACTCTGGACAATAGTGAGGTAACCGCCGGGGATAAGGGTCGCTTAGCACTTCAAATGCCAATCAAGGAAATCGAAAGCGCAACAACGATAGAGGACATCCTCTCGCTATCTGGGCAAGCTCCAAATCTACAACCAACACGGCTTGTCCAGAACGATCTCCGCGTGCCAGAAGAACTCTACACTCCGAATGGAAACATATTGGAAGAAGAAGGTCTCACTGGCAAGGAATACATTGAAGGACATAGTTTCGGGTTTTCCAACGAAACGGCCTTAGACCCTGTCACAAATGAGGAGGTATATGAGATTGAACGCTGCCTCGCAGTACGGATCTACAACCGAAGACTTCAGTATCGCGTCAAATGGGTTGGTTACGAGGAAGATGATCTTTGTTGGTATGATGCAGTTACGCTTAAAGGGGCCGCAGGAGCTCTTAGAGATTTCCATCAACAGAATCCCCACGTTTCAGGGCCTCCCAAACGGCTTTCTCATTGGCTAGATTGTTGGACAAAAGGAGTGGAAGCAGGGGACCACGAAGACGACAATGTCCCGGAGAAGATAGCGAAGAGAGGCCGGCGTGCCGGCTGGCGCGCTATTCTATAAAGCAGACAATACATTTTGCGCCCATAGATTTCTCATTTCATGTTGCAGATTGATGAATAACGTCCGTCCCTGCGTAACGAAAACCCGGCATGCCGAAAAGGACTCAACGAGAAGTTAGATCAGATACGCTAACCTGGAAGAATGAGAGAATATCTTATTTCAAGGTGTTTATCAAGTAAATCTGCTTCTGCAACCAGGAGGAAGATAGAAAATTACATCATCTATCACCATGCTGTCGATCCATTTGTTCTTCATCTGTACGGCTACATGTGTTTTGAAGCCATATAACATTGCATGCGTCTGTTGATCTCTATTATCGGTGCAAGCCAAATAGTCTTCAGCTGTCCACGAAAATATCCCATACAGATTAGAATAACGTCTGTCCCTGTGTAACGAAAAACCCGCCATGCCGAAAAGGATTCCATAAATAGTCAGATTAACGTCCGTCCCTGCGTAACGAAAAACCCTCCGTGCCGAAAAGTTCAAGGGGCACTTTGACTTGGCTGGCTTGCTATCTCAGATATGCATTAATGTTAAACTATTTGTGATATGTTACAGGTGTTATAGCTTCTGCTCTATGTAACGCACTGTTCCTATTTTAAAATTACCTTTGCATTGTTGCCCTCTCGCCTTCCTTCTAGCAGGTCCACATTTGCGAACCAGGAAGGACTTTCCAAAAGCAGTGTCATCCTGCTGCTCGTGCAGCCCCAATACGTCTTATTGAAGCGTTTCTAGGCTTCTAATCATACTCCAGCCACTTAGACGTCACTATCAGCTCTACTTCTAGTGCAGCACAGAGATTTGTGCAGAATTGCCACCGCGCGGTGGATCATCTGGCGCTGTGAGTTCGCTAAGTTGGGCGCTATATGGTGACTGGTGCAGGTCAGACTGAACGAGAACGGTGGCTTCGTTACACGACTGTAGAACTGCAAGTGGCGCAACACTCGCGACGGCAAATAACGAGAGCGGCCAGGCTGCCAAGGGCCAGAACATCTTCAGCCTTCCTGCGTATAGAGACATGGAGACATTTGTATCGACGAACGTTTCTTCTCTTTATGGCATCTACAACGTTTGGCCCCGCTAACGTCGGGTTTCAAGCGGGCATTATAAATGGTCCCGTCCACACTACATTCTTTGCTCCACCTGGTGAGTTGCGAGACGATCCGAGGCTAACAGCGTCAGACCCAGCGCTAACCTGCGGGCCTCCGCCTAGAGCGACGCGAAACTCCACCACAGCCATCCATCGTGATACCTTTCGCGCGAGACGCAGATTTTGTCGACAGAGGCACACTGCTCAACGAGTTCTGTGAGCGATGCACGCAGCCAAATGCAAGGATAGCGCTCGTCGGACTGGGTGGGGTAGGGTAAGCAGCACGAGTGCTTCTTGGACACGGAGCACGATACACTGACAGATGCGCAGTAAGTCACAGCTAGCGATCGAGCATGCCTACCGCACGCGCGAGCAGTCGTCAGAAACATGGGTGTTATGGGCCCACGCTAGCAACGCCGCCCGGCTGGAGCAGAGCTTT